GAGAGAGTGAAAATTGAAGTGAATTGTGGGGAGGGGAATGCATTTGGCCGAGTTTAAGGTAAGAGAGAGGAGAAGGAAGTGCATGGAAATATGTTGGATGTTATCTCCTCCTAGATGTATACAATGTAATTTGCATTGTTATTTGTGGTGCAAATGTGAGGTGGCTTGCTTAGCTTAATCCATCTTTTTTTAAATGGGCTAACTGACCCAAGAGGGGTCCTCGGCCCAAAAGAGTGGCCCAAGAAGAATAGCCCGATTTTTGGCTTGGCCTATTAAGAGTTTTCGGCCCATTAAAGCTTAATAAATGGTTTTTGTTTCAAAGAGCCCAAAAAAATATTAATTCTCGGCCCAACCTCCTCTAATATTGTCTCCTGAATCGCAAAAAAATTAACCTTATGCTTATGACATAAGGATCTCACCCACGTCCTTTTATCTAAGTTACCCGCTCCTTGAATGTTTATCAAAATACAATTCATGGATACCCACTTCTATCCTATTGTCCTTCAAAAAAATCAGAAACTCGATTCTTACACCCACTCATATCATAACCAATAATCTCCCCCATTTGAAACGTTTTATCAAATTAATCTTTATGACAATCATTAGTAAACAACCCATCTAATGTACATTTACTTCCACCAAAAGTGGTATGAATTTGATTTGTAAAACCAGATAGGTGTGACAAAGCATCTTCAAACAAATCTACACCCGACGATCTTCCAGACCGACACAAGAATCCCACCACTTTAACCGAACCCGTAGCCTCCTTCACAAAAGAATCAGCACCGAGAGTTATAGCTGGAAAAATAGGGGTAGAAACCTGCGGAACAGTAGTATAAGGAACAACTGCTATCAGAGCTGCCATAGCAGCAAACACGATAGCAGGAGTTGTTTCTGATGGATCGGCCTCTGAACAACCTCCGTAACCTCAGCAGCAATTGGAGTTTTTGGATGATCTGTATCATTAACAGTAGCAGCAGTGCTCTTCTAGAAATGAACTAAACTCCTGTTATGTGCGTGTTGAATATTTATTTCAATCTTTGAATTCTGGCCAAAATGCCCTTTTCCATTCCCCCAATTACCAAGTGTTGCTTTTTCTTGAAACTTATTATCATCTTCTTTTTCTGAAATGAGTGAACACTCCCCTTGTCTACATTATTACCAATTCCATCACTAGCATTTACCCCACTTTTAAAACCTCTAGGTGGGAAAGAAGGAGTCCAACCAGGAGCCTCCTTAACCTAAACACCAAAGAAAGAATCATCCACACATACCTTTACAACATCAGAAATAATGTCTTGACATGTAGTCAAAACATACACACGATTCTTATAAATATCTTCCCTAAGATCATCATCAATATGAATAATTGTACCCCATCTTGCAAGGATTTTCCGAAGAGCATCCTTACTCCATGCTCATAAAGGAAGACCTTCCACATCAAACCAAATAATCCTTTTCGAAGGCACAAAATTCCTATCCCATGGTTATTTTATTCAAAACGATTTAGAGCATCATTAATCAAAAAAACATTTGCAAGCATGTTTGGATTTGAATTCAATCAAAACCCAAATACCACCCACATAACGAATCTCCAAATCTTTAAAACCTTCATCCAAGCATAACATATGAATCTTAGGAAGAGTATGAAAACCCCTAGCTTTAGCAAGACAAGCTAGTTTTTTCCACCACAAAATCACTTGATTTAATTTCAATGAAATTCTCCTCCGAACGTTTAGCCCTATTATTCTAGGAAATGCCCCTCACAACACTAGCATACGAGTTCGTGGGAACCTCTCTTGTTTTCAACTTTAGAAGGAAAGGAACGTTGAGTCAAGGAACCCTTACAAGAAAACCTTGGGATAGTAGCAAATAATTTATGATACCCAAACCAAGTATCACACAATTGTTACACCATATTCTCAACATTAGTAATGTTCGAAAACCTAATAAATCCAAACCATTTTTCCAACCTGAGACAATCTTTTAGAGACAAACACATCTACTACCTTGCCTAAACATGAATAAACCCTCCATAGATCATTGGGTAACACATAATCAGGGAAATTCGTAATATAGAACGATTGAACATCGACACTTATACGGTTGAGATCCAAACTTACTTGGGTTGCCCTTTGATGTGTAGAAGTTGTTGCATGGTGTCGAACTTCAGACCATGATTCACCGCCCATCCATGTACTACCTTGCCTAAACATGAATAAACCCTACATAGATCATTGGGTAACACATAATCAGGGAAATTCATAACATAGAATGATTGAACATCGACACTTACACGGTTGAGATCCAGACTTACTTGGGTTGCCCTTTGACGTGTAGAAGTTGTTGCATGGTGTCGAACTTCAGACCATGATTCACTGCCCATCCATCTATCCTTCATGTCGAATGTGAAAGTACAATACTCTTTACCTACTGGAATAGTCACCGGCAATTAAAGGCAATCGTCAATCGCCGCTTCCCTAGACGTTAGGTTTTTCTAAAAAATAGAATAAAGTTTTTAATAATTATTGTTCAATTAATTGAGCAAAATCAAAAAATATTGCTCAATATAGTGAAATGAAGCAAAGAAAAGAAAGTAAGGAGAGAAAAGAAGAGAAAAGAAAGGAAACAAAATTCGTCTTTTGTGTTCTCAAGTTGGAGAGAAGTGGACGGAAAAATTAAACATTTTATTCTTTCTCTCCAAATCCTTTCAAACCCGAAGGAAAGTTAGGAGGAAAAGTGATCCTTTCATTTCCTTACACTTTCTTCCTTTAATGAAACTCGGGAACATCAAATTCTTTTACTTTCCTCTCACTTCCACCCATTTCCTTTCTTTTATCTCCTTAAAATGAATTTGGGAACGGGAGTTTCCATAGTTAGTGTTATCATCAAGTATTTGATTCGAATTTTGATTTGTCGTTCATGTCCCGTCGTGGACATAGCTGGAATTGAAGTGTTGTCTTCTCTCCTTGAGGTTGAAGGTTCAAGTTTCATCAAGGACATAGGTGGAATTTAAGGAATAGTTTAGGAGTAATTAGATTTGTCGTTTAATATATATATATATATATATATATATATATATATATATATATATATATATATATATATATTGAGTCATTAGAAGTCAAGTTACAAGTATTTTTGTTTTAGTTTCTCATTTTCCTTGGTTTTTTGTTTTTTTTTATTAGGTTTCTTCGTTGACAATGCTGAAACACATAACTTTCTAAAATATAACAACACACTAGACCAACACATGGTTATTATTTTAATTCTCAATAAAAATTGTAAAATCATAACAATTATTTAACTTTTAAGACACTTAATCAATTACATATACATATAAAATGACAAGATTTTGAGTATTTCTTCATTTTTTTTCAGTTTTTAGGTATGGAAATCAAACTAAACCACGAAAAAGTTATTTTTCTAAATAATAAAAACTAAATCATTAGTTTTTCAGTTTACAAAAATGTCTTGTTTTTGGGTAAATTACATCCATCGTCCCTCGTGAACATGTCAGAAAGCATGTTTAGTCTATGTTTTCAAAAATTAACTCGGATCGTCTCTCGTTTGTTTTAACCTTGCACACTTCATCCCTCTAGACATAAAAAGACTATTTTACCCTTTACAATTTTTGTTTTAATTTTTCTATTTAGTTTATCATTTTTTAGTTAATAAAAAAAGAAAAAATATATACACCTACCCACCCCTCCCCCCTTTTCTTTCCTTACATTTCTTTCGTCTCCCTAACTATCTGGAAAGACCAAAACATCACCACCAAATGAGGGACGATCCGAGTTAATTTTTGATAATATGGACTAAACACGTTTTCTAGCATATGCACTAGGGGCGATTGGTATAATTTACCTTTTTTTTGGTGGGGGTGAGGAATTATGATTATTTGTCCTTATAAAATAGTGTCGGTAGGATAATAATTATAAAATGTGACATAAAGAGTTTGTCGGTTAGTAATAAAGTAATGAGACATAAAGTTTGTAATACTTATAATAGTGTAAGGGTCAATAGTGTAAATAGTTTGTCATCTTGCAATCATACGATTGCAATAATATAAAGGTTTTGTGTATAATTGGCTCTTTAAGAGCATATATAGGGATTTTCCCATAATGAATAAATCAGAGTGATTTGTGTTTAAGACTTGAGTATTCTCTCAAAGTTTTATCTCAACTGAAATTTTTTAAAATTTCTAAATAATAGAGTTTATCATCGATATCCATATCATCCAACGATCAAAAATTATTCTACGCACCATTCAGGTATAAAACTCTTATCCATCATCATTTTATTATCGCATTTGAGAAGATCGAGCTTCTACAAACAAGATTTGAGTTACCTACAGACTCAAAGTATCTACTAGGCTTTTGGCGTTCTAAATTACAAGAAGATTATTGGCGTGGTCGATTGATTCGGTGGCAATTACAATTACATCAATTTCATCCCTATCTCAGGTATATAAAAAGATAAAATAATCGCATAGCAGACACGCTTACGAGAGAATGGAAGCCATCATGAAGCAAGTACAACATCAACTCAAACAAAAGTAGGAACAAAAAACCTCTCTGCTCAGACAGCTAGAAACAGTAAAACATGAATAAAATCAGCTACAACAAAAATTACAAATATTATCATTATACTCTGCACCAAAGGAATAAGCAGCTAGCAGCTCAACCACAAAAAAATCCAACAGAAGACACTCAGGAAATTTCATCCAATAACAGTCAGTCAAATTATGATTATTTGTCGTTATAAAATAGTGTCGGTAGGATAATAATTGTAAAGTGTTTGTCGGTTAGTAATAATGTAATGTGACAAAAAGTTTGTAAGATCCATAATAGTGTAAGGGTCAATAGTATAAATAGTTTGTCATATTGCAATCATACCATTGCAATAATGTAAAGAATGTAAAGGTTCCGTGTGTAATTGGCTCTTTAAGAGCCTATAAATAGGGCTTTGCCCGTAATGAATAAATCAGAGTGATTTGTGTTTAAGACTTGAGTATCCTCTCAACATTTTATCTCTGTTGAAATTTTTTAAAATTTTTGAATAGCAGAGTTTATACTCAGTATCCATATCATCTAATGCACCATTCATGTATAAAAATCTTATCCATCATCATTTTATTATCGTGTCATTTAGTTTGAAAATTTTTACGATGAAAATTCATCGTTATTATTTGTGTATCATCACCATCGTCAAAAAATTTAATATTAATTGTAATCACCACTATCAACATCGCATTTGAATCCTTTTAGAAAAACTAATTCATCAATTTAATATTTTCGTATCGTTGAAGTTTTGGTAATTATGATTGTTTATCGTTATAAAATACTTTTGAAAGGATAATAATTATAAAGTGTTTGTCGATTAATACTAATGTAATGTAACATAAAGTTTGTAAGACTTATAATAGTGTAAGGGTCAATAGTGTAAATAGTTTGTCATCTTGCAATCGTACGATTGCAATAATGTAAAGGTTACGTGTGTAATTGGCTCTTTAAGAGCCTATATATAGGGCTTTGCCCGTAATGAACAAATTAGAGTGATTTGTGTATAAGACTTGAGTATCCTCTCAACGTTTTATCTTTGTTGAATTTTTTTAAAATTTCTGAATAGCAGAGTTTATCATCAGTATCCATATCATCCAACGATCAAAAAATATTCTGACGCACCATTCAGGTATAAAACTCTTATTCATCATCATTTTATTATCGCATTTGAGAAGGTCGAGCTTCTACAAACAAGATTTGAGTTACACACAGACTCAAAGTATCTACTAGCTAGGCTTTTGTCGCTATAAATTACAAGAAGATTATTGACGTGGCCGATTGATTCGGTGGCAATTGCAATTACATCAATTTCATCCCTATCTCAGGTACATAAAAAGCGAAAATAATCACATAGCAGACACGCTTACGAGAGAATGGAAGCCATCATGAAGCAAGTACAACATCAACTCAAACAAAAGCAGGAACAAGAAACCTCTCTACTCAAACAACTAGAAGCAGTAAAACATGAAAAAAATCAGCTACAACAAAAATTACAAATATTATCATTATACTATGCACCAAAGGAAGAATGCAGCTCAACCACAAAAAAATTCAAAAAAGACATTCAGGAAATTTCATCCAATAACAGTCAGCCGAATTATGATTATTTGTCGTTATAAAATAGTGTCGGTAGGATAATACGTATAAAGTGTGACATAAAGTGTATGTCAGTTAGTAATAATGTAATGTGACATAAAGTGTGTAAGACCTATAATAGTGTAAGGGTCAATAGTGTAAATAGTTTGTCATTTTGCAATCATACGATTGCAATAATGTAATGGTTACCTGTGTAATTGGCTCTTTAAGACTTGAGTATCCTCTCAACGTTTTATCTCTGTTGAAAGGCTTTTCGAAATGAGTGGTTTTTCTATTTTATTTTTTTTTAAAGTAACCATTAACCACAATAATTTCATGCAAATTTAGTATAATTTTAACAAAGTTTATTTCCACGAAACTAGAAAAAACACACCTTGGAAAAAATCCAATTTTCGTACTCACTCAAACATCTTGGATTTCTTCAGAAACATCTAATAATTCTTCGACTTCAACTTCTTTAGCTTCATATTCCTCTTCCACATCACTTGCTTCTCCATCTCTCAACATTTCTCTTTCCATTTTCTCTTCTTCATGGTGTTTCTTCCATTCATTCACCCATCTTTCCCATTCTTCCTTCAATTGTTTTCTCTTTTCACGATCTTGTTCACTTAATAACACTGAGATGTCTTGATCTTGTACATCGTATTTTTTGCTGTATTTTTTTAGGTTTTTCAATATTTCTTCCTCTTTTTCAGGGCTTAAGAAAGATGGTGGCCTTGGTCTCCACAAAAACTGCAACAATCAAATAATATTATTATATCAATGACAAGGGCATTTTCGTCTTTTCAGTCCGTGTCCAATTCCACCTTTAAGGGTGTCACAAACAAAATTCAAATTTTATCCCATTGACATAACAGATAAACAAATAAGTTTTTTAGAGTTATTTCTATGTTTCGAGAATGAAAAGGGCATTTATGTCTTTTGCACAAACAAGCAATTGAGTCATTATCCCACATTGTTTATCCCATTGACATGATGTAAGCTTTGTAGAGCTCTTTTTAGTGACCAAGGTGAAAAGGGCATTTATGTCTTTTACACATAAAAAGGTTATTTATGTGAGTCAATGTTCAATTCCACCTTCAAGGGTGGCACGAAAAAAATATTTTTTATAGCATTGACATAAAGGATAAGTTTTTTTAGGGTTATTTCCTACTTTAAGAGAATGGAAGGGCATTTATGTCTTTTTGCACAAACAAACTATTGAGTCAATGTCTCAAATTGTTTGGCTTGTTACCTAAAATTGCAATTTTTATCCCATTGGCATCATGAAGCTTTCTAGAGCTCTTTTTAGTGAAGAAGGTGAGAAGGGCATTTATGTCTTTTGAGTCGATGTCCAATTCCACCTTCAAGGGTGGGACAAAAAAATTCAATTTTTATCACATTGACATAAGGGATAAGTTTTTCTAGGGCTATTTCCTATGTTGAGAGAATGAAAAGGGCATTTATGTCTTTTTCACAAACAAGTAATTAAGTGATTGTCCCACATTGTTTATACTATACTATTGACATGATTTTGTGACTAGACAATCTTTCTAAAGCTCTTTTTAGTGACAAAGGTGAGAAGGGCATTTACGTCTTTTACACTGACAAGGATAAAAGGGGCGTTTATGTCTTTTGCACAAACAAGAGATTGTGGTCCCGCATTTTTGGTGGGACAGGACTGGACATTACAAGATTTCTATAAGACTAATGTTCATGATAAAAAGATGAGGGCATTTTCGTCTTTTGGTCATATAAGAGATGAAGAAATTACCTGGAAGAAATGATCCTTTAAAATTCGGTAAAGTAGCTTCCCATTGAATGACCATATGTTGAACCCATTTTCCATCTCATGAACTGAAGTCACTGAAGTTGCAACATACCTTTTAAAAAAAAACATCAAAAAAATAAAATAAATGAGTTGGTTATAGCTTCATCAGATAAAACTCAAACTTTCACACAAATTTTCATGTAATTTTAGTAATGTAATATTTGTTATAAATAAAAATTCATATTAATTAATTATATATATATATATATATATATATATATATATATATATTATATTTAAATTAATTATTTTTAATTGGCAAAATGTTCTTTTCATTAACCGAATTTACTAGTACTCGAATCATTTATTTTGGTTATAACTATTAGCATATATAAGAGAGCTGCAATATGTAAAATGACATAAAAGGATATGTAGAAGATTGAGTTTTTTTATAACTAATAAAGGATATATTTGGTAAAACAAGCACATTAAAACGCTAATCTGGGTAGCTTTTTAAAAAGCTAGCTTACAAGCTATTTTTTGTATTGCCAAACATAGCCTTGGTCTATAAAAGTTTGAAAAAACTAATGAAAATGTTATTGAGAAATTAAAAAAAAAAAGGGTTAATATCATAAAAGACCTTATATTTTGTGTTTTTTTCCGGATTAAACCTCATCTTTATTTTTTTTTCATGAAAAGAAACCTTATATTTTTTCATTTTTTACGAAAAAACCCTCAACTTTGTCCTTTTTTTCTGAAAAAAAAACCATCAACCTTCTAATTGTTTCCAAATAAATCCTCAACTTTTTTAGCTTTTATAAATACTACTCAAACTAACGTTTCAACGAGCTTATTGACCCTTTTTTTTAAACCCTCCCAAATATACTCTTTATTAATTATAAGAAAACTCAATCTTCTACATGTCCTTTTATGTCATTTTACATATTTCAGCTCTCTTATCTGCTAGTTTTACCAAATGTTATTTTTCATCAGCTAGCAACTAGCTTTTCAGCTATCAGCTAGCTGATAGCTTAAAAAAAAGTTGCTAGCCCATAAAAAATAACATTTGGTAAAACTAGCAGATAAGAGAGTTGAAATATGTAAAATGACATAAAAGGGCATGTAGAAGATTGAGTATTTTTATAATTAACAAAGGGTATATTTAAGAGAATTCTAAAAAAAAGCTCAATAAGCTTATTGAAACACTAGTCTGTGTAGTTGTAGCCTTGTAGGTGTGTCAAACATATCCTAATACAAAAGTTTGAAAATTTGAGATTTGAGAAATAATAATAATAATAATAATAATAATAATAATAATAATAATAATAAGGGATTTCGACATAAAAGTCCTTAAGTTTGTCAGGTTTTGTCCCTGTGACAATTTTTTGTTCGTTAATGTCCAAAATTTGCCAAGTTTTTTTCATTTTTCTCCTTTCTAAAAATCTTTTATGTTTTTCAAATTTGCAAAAAAAACCCTTAAGTTTACAAACCTTATATGTTTTTATCCTAATTATGTTTTCCAAATTTGACATGAAAGTCCTTAAGTTTGTTAAATTTTGTCGGTTTTGTCCCTGTACACCTACTATTATAGATACCAAGGGCAAAAATGAAAAAAAAAAAAAAAAACTTGGCAAACTTTGGGCATTAACAAGCAAAAAATCGTCACAGGGGCTAAAGTGACAAAACTTGTCAAACTTAAGGACTTTTATGTCAAAAGCCCTAAAAATAAAAAAAATACCTTCCAGTAGGATCCCATTCAATATCAGTAGCCATAAAATGTTCAGCAGTTGCCATAGTTTCCATCTCATCAACATTATAAAACTCCAACTGCCCATTAAACCCTTTCAACCCTGCCAAAATTACAAACCTGCCACCTGGCGACCAAAACATCCCATTCGCCTGTTTCTGCTTAAGTGTCACAAGCTTCACCACCTTCCCACCTTTCACCGAATAAAAACTAACATCAGGCCTTGGATTATCCCCATGTATGACACCAAATCTGTGACCTTTCGGCTCCCATGCAAAGGAAATTACTTTATCATTTTTATTATCAAGTTCAAATACTTCAATTGGAATATCGCGTTCTTTGATTCTGAAGAGCTCGAATCCTGTGTAGGTGGATTTTTTGGTTTTGGTGTAGCGGTCAACTTTGACTGCAAGGTATTCGCCGGTGGATTGCCAGTACATTTTGCAGTCGTTTACGGAGAAGAGGTTTTTTTGGCGGAGTTCTTGTTTGCTTGGGATTTGGAAAAGTGACACCTGGCAATGGATATGCCACGTAGGCGGGTTGGAAATTGGAGAAATGGTAGAAATAGTAATGTAGTTTGAGTTATTTGTTTACTAGTTTGAATTATTCGTCCCTATGGTTTGCTCAAAATTGCACGTTTGATCCCTAATTTTTTTTTTTTTGCATTTGGATCGTCCCTATGGTTTGATTTTGTTGTGTTTTTCGTCCTTATGGTTTGGTCAAAATTGCACCTTTGGTCCCTAACATTATGTATGTAAGGGACGAAAAACGCAACAAAATCAAACCATAGGGACGATCTGAGTGCGAAAAAAAGTTAGGGAGCAAACGTGCAATTTTGACCAAACCATAGGGACGATTTCAGTAATTTACTCGATTAAATATGGTGTAAACATTTAGGAGTTTGGATTTATAGGAAAAGTGAGAAAAATATTGAATTATTGAAATTGGAGTGCTCGTTTCTTTGGGTTTTATGCAGAAAAGTCCCATTATTTTGGGAAAAACTTTTATAAAGTTTTTTAAAAAATTGAAATGAAAAATCCCGATTATTTAACATTTTGCATGTATTAACGAAAAAGTACTTTTTTTATTTTGAATGGAAATGATAGATTATGTGATTTTCCTAAAATAATGGAACTTTTCTGAATAAAACCTTTATTATTGCATCCTTCTTAGGGCAACTTATATAAATTAGGTAAACATGTGGTTTAACCACTTATACTTTACTTTTTCCAATCAAACATTCAAACAATAAAAGCTTGACATAGTAATGTACTTTGAATTACTTTGTGTTTTTTTCCGGAATAAACCTCAGAATTTTTTTTTTTATGAAATAGACCTTGCATTTTTTTCGTTTTTAACGATCTGGCCCTTTTACTTGTTTTTTTCTAAAAAAGTTGTAAAACGTGAGGGGGTTTTCGAAAAAACTAAAAAAGTTGAGGGTATATTAGGAAGCATTTAGAAAGCTGAGGGTTTTTTCAGGAAAAAAAAAATACAAAGTTGAGGGCTTTTTCGAAAAAAAAGAAAAAATACAAGGTCTTTTTCAGGCAAAAAATAAATTTTAGGTTTAATCCAGAAAAAAAACACAAAATATAAGATCTTCTTTTAGATTAACCCTAAAATTTTGATGATTCTTGAAGCTTTATTTATATTTTAACGTGTGTTGATTATTGTAAAAAATAAATAACTGAATTTTTATTTTTATTTTATTTTTTCAAATATGCGTAATATTGGTATTTTGTTCTTTATAGTAATAAGTGAAGAATGGAATTGGATTGGATTGGATTCCTTCCACCTTCCTCTAGGAATTGTCAAAATCCATCAAACATGGAATTTGGAGGATTCCAATGGAATTGAATTCCCAAACCAACTAAGGAATGGAATCTTGGATTCCAATTATGAACTTACTCTTGCAGGTTGATTTCCTCCACCAAGTTCAGGAACAAAGAGTGCAAAAATAGGATCAGTGGGAGACCAACTGAAGTCCATAACATTTTCAACTTTGATGGATTTCTTGTCAATAAGACTGAATGTCTCTGTTTCATAAACTGAAATGACATTTTTGCCCATTCTAGCAAAGTACTTGTCCTCTTTGCCTCCTCCCCATCTGCAAAAGTACAAACATGTCCACATCATCAACACACAAGTTCAAGATAAAATAATATGTAAGACTTGACTTTCTAGGATTTGTTTTGGATAAGATAGCTACGTATTTATTAACAATAAAATTGTAAATTAACTCAAATTGTGGAAACTTTATAAGAAAGATTTATTTTATAAGAAAGTCTAGGGTTTGTTTGGATAAGATAGAAATGGAATAAGAAATGAGTCATTACACTTATCATGACTGGAATGAATGAATGAATGAATGAATATTTCTTTAAATTTTTTTATATCATGTGTAGTGTAATATTATGTATGGTTTGAATTCTGCTGTATTGTTATTTTAATTATAATTCATCATATTCCTATTCACAAAAATAAGATTTTGTGCATAATAGAAGCTCAATAAAACCAAAATAAGTTTAGACTAAAAATTATTTTCTATGAATTTATTAATAATGAAATTGTATGTTAATAAAAATTGTGGAACTTTATAAGAAAGATTTGTGTTATGAGAATGTCTAGGGTTTATTGATTGACCAGGAATAAATATTATGCATGAATCGAATTTTGCTATAATATTATTTAATTATAGTTCTTGAATTTCTTATTTACAAAAATAAGATTTTAAATATAATAAAAGCTCAATAAAACCAAAATATACTCTAATAAATAGAAATCTTTTTTGCCACATGTCATTTTGTAGTTATTTTAAATTAAATTTTTCCCATGTGTCATTTTATGGTTTTTTCCATTTTAATAAATTACATATGGTATTTTAATGTAATAATTGTAATAAATGGATATCAATTTCATTAACACAACTTTCCTTCTAATTTAAAATTTCTAAATTGAAGTTCAATGATTTCCTTTGTTTATTTATTTAAATTTAAAAGAGAAATGAACACTTCAATTTCAATAATTCAATATTTTTCTAATTTTCCTTATAAATCCAAACTTTCTAAATGTTTAGACCTTCATATTTATTTTATTTTTTTTAATAAACCCGTGTAATACAAGGGTCTCAAAACTAGTAAGTTTTTAAAGAAAAATATATTTCCCAAGTATTTTTTGATAATAGAAATTGCATTGATAAAAATGAAGTTATATTGCAATTCTTCATTCCATGGTATTCAAACGAAAAACCTAGGAATGAAAACTTTAACATGATTAAAGGAATCACATTTTTTATTGGAATGGAATCAACAATTCCATTCCATAATTCTCAATCCTTCAAATACACATACCTGAAAACAGGCCATGAGACTCCAGTAAAACCTCCAGTTCCACCAATTGCAAACTCATCAGCACTTCCTTTAAAATCCCTCATTACTTTTCCAGTTCTCACATCAAATATGTTCAGCACTACCCTCTGATCATTACAAAAAAATTAAAGTTAACCAAAAAAACATTGTTATAATTTTAAAAAAATTAAAAAACAGACAAAATAATATGATTCTTACATGTGTATCACGGGGGTTGCTTGGCTCATGGCTGCTATATGTGACCAAATATTTCTCACCAGGTGAGAAATCAATGAGTTTAACCTAAATTCAACAGAACAATTTCAAAACCTAATTTATTTGTTTATTAATTATTATTGCATCCTTCTTTTATTTTTTTTCTAGGGCGACTTACAGAAATTATGTAATTTTGTGGTTTAAACTTTAACCACTTATGCTTTATTTTTTCCAATCAAACATTCAAACCATAAAAGTTTTGATATTTTTCTGAATCAACTATTTTGACATGTAACATGTCAAAAAGGTTATTTTGGAAAATTACAAGGGGACCTTGATATAAGAAAAATACTGTTGAAAACTGATATAAGTCTATAACAGGTGAAAATGGTTAATTTGGAAAAATGTATGTAACTTTTATAGTTTGATTGAAGAAAATAAAGTATTGGCGTTAATTGGTAAAACTATCGATGAAATATAAATTTTTTTTTGAAAATTTAACCAAATATAGCATTGTAAAGTGCTTGTATTTGGATGGCATTGCTATAACTGAATAGATTTCGTAGAGGGTGTTTGGGATTTCATCTAAAATATCTTATTGACTTCTTAGCTTTTTGAAAAGTCAATAAGTCAAAAAAAGTATTTGGCAATATAAAAAAGACTTTTAAAATAACTTCTCATTAACCCTTCAAAAAGGAGATTTCAATAAGTTAGGATTTCTAACTTTTCAAAACTTCTTATAACTTTTTGGGTTGTAAAAGACAAATACCCCTTAAAACATGTATAAGCTAAGACAAACACTTTTTAAAAAACAACTTATTGACTTTTCCCATCAAAAAAGCTAATCCAAACACTTTTTCAAAAATAAGTCAATAAGTCCCTTTTAATTATAAGTCCTTTTAAAGTTCAAAATGAAATCCCAAACACCCTCTTAATGTATAATGTTAAAATAGGATTAAATGAAAGTAGGATTCAATTATAAACAAATATATGAAACTAAATTGCTATATCTTGCATTTAATTCTAGAGAAAATCTAAATTATAATCAACCTGTGGATGAGCATAACGCATTAGGCGGTTAAATGTGGTGGCACCACCCCACACAGCAGCACCCTGCCTGTGGACTGTGGCCAAGTAGGTGCCCAATGGAGACCACTGCACAAAACTTTCTGTCCAAAACTGCAGAAAATTGATAAATTCAAATATTCAATTGTAAGTAAAAACATGTTTTAATGAAATACACAAAAACAATGCAAAAGATAAAGAATTTCCACTCACAGGGCGTTTGTAAACAGGATCAGCTTTCACTTGTCTTGCATCATTCCACAACACCTCTGTGTCAGATCCAGCACGAATAACAAACTGATCTCTACCTTTCTCATCAGTAAGCCAATGTTGCAGATTCTCCTGCAATAATACACCAAATACAGTTTATTTATCAAGATTTTTAGTAGAAAAGAAAGTAACTACTCTTCTTCAGTATATAACATTGTCACATAACAATAAACTAAGTTAATTCAATTACTTACCCCTGGTGTGTATGGCTTGATTTCAGGAGGGGCCCACTCGTCTGGAACTTTCATGAACTTCTCAATTTCATCAAACATATTGACAGCAAAAATATGTGCTCTGTCTAGTTTGTATCCATTGGTCTTCTCTTTAGCAAGTTCAGCTTCCTACAACAAGCAAAAACAACAGAAAAAGAACAGATTCGTTTATTCAGACATTGGTTTATAGAGAACTGTTGGATTAAAGAAGGGTGAAGGAGATACTTGAGGAGTGTTGTACTCAATGAAGCAATAACCTCGAGTTTTTCCAGTGTCTTCTTCTACAGGCATCCAAAGCCCGTTCTCCTTGATTACACCAATTTGACTGTAGATTTTACGAACTACACCTTCAAGCTTTTCAAATTTCTCACGAGGCACAACTGGCAAGTTATCAACAACAATAATATTCCCGAATCCAGCATCAAATTCCAATGAATCTTCCTCGTTAAGATCATCATCATCGCTGAAAATACAAATACAGGAAACTTTACCATGCTGTTTAGTGAAACATACAAACTCATAACAAAAACTCAAATTCAGAACAGAGAACACACACAAAGTAACAGATACTTAAGTATTCAGTAGCTCAAAACAAGAGCACATGCCCATTCAGCTGCAAAACCCCAAGCAATTATGTCCTTCATATGCAAATGCATAACTAAATAGATATAAGTATTCAACTTTTTTAAGGACATGTACAATTATATATAAGACAACCTCAAATTTGATCATACGATTCGTGTACTCAATCATTGAAAACATGCAGTGCAAAATACTCGACCTTACGAAAATATAAACGCATAATCGGGCCATTAGGTTTTCTTCCCCTACCTTTTGATACCAAAGTCTTCACCGGGAGGGAGCCGAACCGAGTTCCAATCAACTGCCGACAAATCGATGTTTAAACGAGCAGCTTCAGCTCTTATGTCGTCCATTGACATCACGTCCGCCATGATTTCTCGAAGTTTTTTTAGATCGACAAAACCGCAATCAAGAGGAGTTCAAAGCTTCGCTTTTGCAATTGCTTGATTTAGGGTTTCTGATAACTTGCGATCGGAGGAGCTGCGCAACTGTAGAGTACTAGTAGCGTCGAGAAGATCACCACCACTTTTAGCGTTACTTTTGTAAACGAACCAAAGAGGCCCTTCATATTTAAGTGGAGACGAAAATTTTCACTACACACTCCATATTATTTTTTTATTTAAAATTAAATAAAAATACAGTAAATACACAAGGGAGGAAGCAGTCGTTCCCTCCCAACCCACTGTCACATCATTTCTTTATCTTTTTCAACCCACAACACACGGAAATTCTATCTTTTTGAACCCACTCAATTAAAAAAAATACAAAACAACTAAGGTACAAGTTTTAAAACACATGGTACAAGAGAAAATAAGAAAGAGAAAGTAGAGAGAGATGATGAAGTGTGAATGTGGGGTTAGTGAACCAATCAACCAACTCATTGAACTGGGAGTGGTACCGCCGATAACTCTATTGCTAATTAAGATTTTACATTTGATTGTTTTGTATTTTTTTTTTTAACTGAGTGGGTTGAGTGGGTTCAAAAAGATAGGGTTTCTGTGTGCTGTGGGTTCGGAAAGATGAAGAAAAATAAAAGAGAAAAAATATTTTGTCAGTGGGTTCAGTGGGTTGGGAGGGAATGACTCCCTCCTTCCTAAGAGGGTATAAGAGGGTGGTGGATGTTCATTTTGAAAAAATTTCACCAAAATCACTTATTAACTTGAAGATGGGAAAGAAAGTTTTTAAAAGGTGTTTGGTTTAATTTTTATAATAACAAAAATAAATAAATCAATAAGTTATTTTTTAAAAAGTTTTTGGTTAACTTACATGTAAAACGACCAAAAAAAGATATGTTTGGTTATCTAGACTTATTTTCATATAATATTTTATAGGAGCCATTTTTTGGATAAAATTTATAAATTTTTTATAATTTTTTTTTTTGAGAAAATATATAATATAATTTCCTTTTACACAATTTAGAAATTTTTGGTAACATTCAAAAAATAGTGTTCATACAAAATTATAAAGCACATTGTAAAAAATTCTTAAAAAATCATAGGTGATTTCATATTGTGACATCCCCAATTTTCTCGGCCAGAAAAGACCGATTTAATTTATGTTTTTAAAATAAAATCAGAGTAATTTTCCAAAAGATGTTGCGGAATTTATTCCCAAAACAAAATATAATAAAATTTTATCAAAACATTTCTTAAAGAAATATATTTACCATTTCATAACAAAACATCAGGATGTCATGTTTCGATACAGATCAAAAGCATAAACAGTATTCGTTAAGTCATCCAACTATGCTCTTTCCACTACCTGTAATACAAGAAACAGAGTGGGTCAGGCTTGCGAGCATATAGGGTTTTCAACCCACAAATAATAAATTTATTAATTTCATCATTCAACAATAAATTTATTAATTTCATCAACCAAAAATAACCCTGATTACCCATTCTCGTTATCCTCACTTTACGTCCCTCAAAAACAACTATCACAAGGGACCTAGCCTAAGGATTTTCATCAGGGTGACAACACTGCTTCGGGGGTTCCTCAGCAATTTATGTCAAATAAGGCAACCATCGGGGTGACAGCACTGCTTTCCTCAGCAATTTATGTCAAATAAGGCAACCAATAGGGTGACAACATTGCTTTCCTCTGCAATTTATGTCAAATAAGGCAACCAATGGGGTGACAACATTGCTTTTCTCCGCAATTTATGTCAAATAAGGCAAACATCGGAGTGACAACACTGCTTTTCCTCAGCAATTTATGTCAAATAGGCACGAAGTCACATCGTCGCCAAGGTTTATACAACAAGCACTAAGTCCATAGTTGCCAACGTACTACATCCATAGCTACCAACGTACATCTATACCGTACTAAATTCATAGCTACCAACGTACATCTATACCGTACTTTCATCTCTCATTCTTTATCTACCCATGTTTTACCCAACATATTTGAAGATAAAATATATATACATTTTAAATCATTTTAAACATGTATAAAACATTCTATCAACATCCATCTCAAGTAAACAAACAACATATATATACATAGCACGTATTTTATATAAAATACTTCATATCTATGTGTAAGATGAAAGTGACTATACACTCACTTGATTTAACGATAATCGGGCAGCACTTCGTTTCCTAAAATGATCGTTTCCGATGAAACCAGAAGCTTTAATGAAAAACCGGGCTCTGCGAGGGTTGAGCTTTAAAACAGAAAAGATAAATTTCCCGGGCTCTTCGGACTCTTCGGGACGTGTTTCGGGTGTTGAAAATAATATCGGGGCTTCGGGGGAAGTGGAAATAGCTAAAATATGAGTTTAAGGGTGAAAAGTGACAATTTTCCAACATTTACCCGGGAGGTTTCGCACCCTTATATAGGTGCGAGTCTCGGATCCGAAGCAAGAGGAAATGAGGGCAGGTGGCGCGAGGCTGCGAGGCTCGGTACACGCGGAAGAAGGGGCGCGGCTTGGATGCGAGATGGGCACGCGTCGGCTTCGGATTGGTCCAGCGTCTCGGATGACGCAGTTGCTTCGGACACGGGGGTGCACACGCGTCGGATGGTCTTCGGCTGAGTCATCGACGTCGGACACGGGGCGCGCCTGACGTGGCTCGCATCGGATACGTGTCGCGCGAGGAGCGAGGGTGACGTGGCCGAACTCAGGCCATGCGATTTTTCTCGGATTTCGCAATTATTCTCGATTTTTGTGCCAAAAACTTCTAAAATCCATAACTTCCGTATACGAGCTCCGTTTTTGACGTTCTTTATATGCACGCGTAGGGAAAATTATGCTCTACAACTTTCATTTAGACTTCGTCGGCAAATTTTGACTTTATTTTTAATATTATTATTTTTAACAGACCGGGACAGGAAAATCCGTTAAAAATTCATAACTTCTTCATCCGATGTCCGTTTTCGTCTGTCTTTTTACCGTTGTACTACTATTGACGAGACCTTCGATTCTCGTTTAGGATGTGTCGGCTAAAAATCACTCGATCTAAAATTCGAGTTTTTAGATGTCTACTGCTAAGCTAAAACTTAGAAAAATCATAACTTCCTCATACGAAGTCAGATTTGGGCGTTCTTGTTATACATAATCTCGGTATAACGAACACTACGACTTTCATTTAGATCACCAAGGCTAAAAAATAGTTTATCAAAAACTCACTTTTTACGTCATTCGGCGCCGTGCCGGTTTTGTCGCGGAACTTCGACATTGTCATAACTTCTCGTTTCTAACTCGGATTTCGGTATTCTTTATATATCCGGAATCCTTGTCACGACCACTATAACTTTCTTAATAGATATCGGCTTTATCTAATATTTATTTTCGACGCTTATTTTTTTTCTTAATTAATTAATTTCTAATAATTAAGCATAAAACACATAATTCACATAATATTTCTTCAAAATGAGTTACAAAGGTTGACCTAATATATTACATCATCATTAAAGCCTATCGTAGAAACACGGGCGTTACACATATTACATTCATTCTCGCGATCTCGTTATCTCTCCCACAATCATATCTTGTATCGCTGCCATATACATATCATTATCATTTGTATGACATGTACTTGTACCTTCTTCATGCGCTTCATTACTATTACCAGCTTCAGTCGGATTATAAGATTCTTGTTGTGCCTTGTTAAATGTTTCATCAAATCTATCAGCCTTTCTTATATAGTTATGGACCACCATTTATGTTATCACTATCCCATACTTAGTGCTCGTATGTGTAATTAACATGCATATCACTCAATAACGCCCACCTAGTTTTCCACACTCCAAAAGTTCGTTCAATGATATTGCGTAATGATGAGTGGCGATAATTAACTCTTTCGGCCCATGAGGATTACGCATTGCAGCAGTTTGTCCACATCAAAAATCTGGTAGATGATAACGAATGACTGTACCTTTGTATGGAGCAAGATACCCTCTAGTATTCGGGTAGCCAACATCAACAACGTAATATTTATCTACATATAAAGCAAACATTTGTTATACATTTCAAACAAGTATAAAAAACATACAACTTTCATTATTAAAAAATTATACTAACCACCCGTTGGATGTGGAAAATGAAGCTCCGGTCTCCGTAAGGCTTCATTAAAAATCTTTGTGTCATGTGTGGTTCCCTTTCATCCGGCGAACACAAATGCAAAACACATATTAAAATCGAAAACAGTCATGATATTTTGTGTGGCATATCCCTTTCGACCAATGTATTTCGCTTCTTCAGAGTGTGGAACCGATGCGCTCATGTGTGTCCCATCTATAGCGTCAACGCAATCCTATAAATAAATAAAAAGTAAATCATGATTAATTCATTTCTTAAAGTGCGACTAAAGTTAAAGTAACTAGAACATTAAATAATATCTTGAACATTGGATAATATTTCAGATTATTTAATATATATCCGGGTACGACATCATTATAGTTAGTGTCTGGCTTGATTATGGCAGCTTGAGAAAGGTTGCCAAAACTATATGAAAATGCCTATGAAATGTTTCCCCCGAATGATTAATAATTTCCTGTAGGAACCTATTTGTACATCGATGAGCCAAAGTTATTAAGAAGATTCCTACCAACTCTTCAATAGAAATATGACGTGTTCCTTTTAACCCGTAATTTGTAGCAAGATCAGAACATAATTGTCTAAATACCTGTACATGCAGTCTAAACATTTCGTAACACCACCTACCACTCCCATTTAAAATGTCATTAATAAATATGTTCCATGTGTGTTCCGATGTGTGACATGGCGTACGTGTCTTACACATCTTATGAACAATTATTATCCCTGTGACAACTAATCCACATAATTCATTTGAATTCTAAATCCTCTTTCGTACAATATTCTTCATTATCATCATATAAACCAGAGTCATCACTATCAATCCTAAATAATAACAGATCATGTTAAATATAATATATAATGTTAAACGGTAACACATCATATAAAATGCAAAGTACATAACATCAAACAATAACACATACAAGGATAACACATAATGTCAAACGAGAACACATAAAAGGATAACACATAATGTCAAACCAGAACACATAAAAGGACAACACATCAA